GAAGGAGCAGGGCAATGTCTGTCCAGGGAAGGAATATGCCATCTTCTCTCGCTGCAGAACTCTCCCCCGCCCCTGAAGATGGCCAGCCCTTTGCTTTTCCTCTTCCCTCCCTGGTCTTTGACTTACGTGTCAAATTCAGCAGGGTGACGCCTCCAAAGTCAATCAATAATGAGTCTATATTCCTAAAACTTTCCAGACAGTCACTCTAATTCCCGTCCCACTCCCTCCCCCATGTGTTCTTTTATCAGCCAACGGTTTATTTTAATTTTATTATTTTGGTGACGTTGGGAGTGACATCATGCCCCCCAGTGCCCCCCTCCCATCCTGCACTAATTACGGACCTGTCTTAAAGGACTCAAAATTTGTTCTGTTGGTTGTTGTAGATTTTCCGGGCTGTATGGCCGTGGTCTTGGCATTGTAGGACCTGACGTAGGAGGACTGGTATCATCAGAGGTATATCACAAGAGAGTACTCCATCTTTCTGTGTTATACCTCTGAGGATGCCAGTCACCGCTGCTGGCAAAACGTCAGGTCCTACAATGCCAAGACCACGGCCATACAGCCCGGAAAACCTACAACATCTAATGAACTCCGGCCGCGAAAGCCTTCGACAACATATTTTGTTCTGTTGCTTCAGACCAACATGGCTACCCATCTGAATCCATTTTATGTAGTGCTACCGTATTGCCTGCATAGAAAAGCCCTCTTGAATAATTCAGTTTTACGTAGTTTGTGGAAAGCCAGGAGAGTGGGGGCCTTTCTGACTTCCTCAGGAAGACCATTACACATGTTGGTGAGCCACAACAGATAAAGCACATGTATGGGCAGTTGTTGATTTTGCCCCTTTGCAGGTTGGCACCTGGTGAACACCCTGCTCAAATAAGTGAAGCTGTCATGGCAGAGCATGGGGGAGAGATGGGCTTGCAGACATGAGGATCCAAGGCCATGAAGGGCTTTGAATGGGATAGCCAGTACTTTAAATTGAACCCGGTAACTGATGGGCAGCCAGTGGGAGTAATATGCATGCTCTATCTAGCTCCTGATTATAGCCAAGCTGCGGCATTCTGCACCAGCTGGACTTTCCAAGTTGATTTGATTTTGTGGAGAGACCAATGTACAGTGCATTACAGCAGTCTAATCTCGATGTCCCTGTGGCATGGATCCAGGTAGTTAGATTGGCTGTATCAAGGTAAGGGGCAATTTTTCGAGCAAGGCTGAGTTGGAAGAAAGCCTTTTTTTAAACTGCACCAACTTGCTTAAGAACATAAGAGACGCCAATGTTGGATCAGGCCAAAGGCCCATCCAGTCCAACACTCTGTCAAAAGAATATTTGGCTAAGCATTAGGAAGAACATCCTGACAGTCAGAGTGGTTCCTCAGTGGAATAGGTTTCCTTGGGAGGTGGTAGTGGGCTCTCCTTCTTTGGAGGTTTTTAAACAGAGGCTAGATGGCCATCTGACAGCAATGCTGATTCTGCGAACTTAGGTAGATCATGAGAGGGAAGGCAGGAAGGGTTGCATCAGTGACCCTTTCTTACACACCCAGGGAAACGCTGATTGCCACTTTGGGGTCAGGAAGCAATTTTCTCCAGGCCAGTTTGGCCAGGGTTCCTGGAGGGTTGCGTTTTATGGGGGGTTTTGCCATCTTCTGGGCATGAAGCAGGGGTCACGGGGGGTGAGGAGTGGGGAGGTAGTTGTGAGTTCCCTGCATTGTGCAGGGGATTGGACTAGATGACCCTGGAGGTCCCTTCCAACTCTATGATTCTAATACAAATCATGGACCGCATGATTCAGCAGTTTGGAATCAATGGGACACTTTCATCTCCAGATATAAACTCTATAGATGGACAGGGTAAACCATGTTGGGGGAGGTGTTCCGTGGTATAGCAAAGAGGGCATAGAGTCAAACAAACTAAAGAACATAAGGGTAATAAACTTCCCCACAGAATTGCCATGAGTGGAGATACCTTGCCCTATGTGTTCCTTTAAAGTGGGGTATACTGTCTGTCCCCTAATCAAATTCCTGAGAAAGCTTAGTGGTCAGGGAGTAAGAGGACAGATCCCCTTATGGTTTAAAAGTCAGGAAGCAGAGAGTAGGAACAAAAGGAGAGTTCTCTCAATGAAGATAAATGAGCAGTGGGGTACCACAAGCATCAGTAATGGGGCTAATGCTATTTAATTTGTTCATTAATGATCTGGAATTGAGGGTGAGCAGTGTAGTGGCCAAGATTTCCAATGAAACAAAATTATTTAGGCGAGTGAAAACGAAGGCCTACTGTGAAGAGCTCCAGAAGGAGCTCTCTAAATTGGGTAAGGGTGCAGTGTTCCCTCTAAGCTGAGTTAGTGTGAGCTAGCTCACGGTTTTTTAGCCTCCGGCTCACACATTTTTGTCTCAGCTCGGGTAAAATAGCTGCAAGGCAAACTAATTTATGCAGTAGCCAAATCGCTCGCTCACAGCTTTAACGCCAAGAGCTTGCCAAGTAGAATTTTTGCTCACAGGACTCCACAGCTTAGAGGGAGCATTGGTAAGGGGATAACAATCTGACAGATGTTCATTGTGGGTAAGTATAAGGGGATGAATGTTGGAACAAAAACTCCCAACTTCAAGTAGAGACTAATGGGGTCTGAATTTGCTGAGACTGAGAGCGGAAAGAGACCTTTGGGCTGTAGTGGAGAGCTCAGTGGAAATGTCAACCCAGTGTGGCACAGCAGTGAAAGAGGCAAACTCTTGTGTTAGGGATTATTAGGAAAGGGACTGAGAATAAAATGGCTGATATTGTAATGCCCTTGTACAGATCTATGATGCGACCTCATTTGGCATACTGTGTGCAATTTTGATCACCGTATCTCGAAAAGGACATTGCAGAGCTGGAAAACGTACAGAGGAGGGCAAATGAGTTGATTAGGGGAACTGGAGCACCTGCGCTATGAGGACAGGGTGAAGAGTCTGCGAAGAGATGACTAAGGGGGGTGAGATGTGGTAGAGGTTTATAAAATTATGTACTAGGTAAAGAAAGTGGACAGAAATCTTTCCCCCCTATTCCGAAACACTAGAACTTGAAGGCATTCAGTGAAGTTGATGAGCAAAAGATTTCGGATGGAAAAAAGGAAATACTGCTTTATGAGTGATTAAAATGTGGGATTTGCTGTGAGGGGAGGATAGGTCCATCAGTGGCCACTAGCCAGGATGACTGAACGGATCTAATGCAATCAGAGGCAATAAATTTCTAAATACCAGTGAATGGAGACAACTTTTGGGAAAGGCATCAGCCTCTATGCCCTGCTGTTGGCCTACCAGGGCAACTGGTTGGCCTCTGGGTGAGACAGGTTCTGGACTAGATAGACTACTGGTCTTATCCAGCAGAGCACTTCTCTTGTAACCTTGCATTGGTGATGGTGGTGGTTGTCAAGTTGCAGCCAACTTATGGTGACCCTGTAGGGGTTTGCAAGACAATAGATGTTCAGAGCTGGCCCACCTCTACACAGTGACCCTGGACTTCCTTGTTGGTTTCCCATCCAAATACTGAGCAGGGCTGACCCTGCTGAGCTTCCGAGATCAGGCTGGTCTGGGCAATCCAAGTCAGGGCTTGCATTTTTACCTGGCTGGAATATTTATTTATTTATTTATTAACAAAATTTGTGTGTCATCTTTCTGCCCAGTCAGGGCTACCAATTATAACAAAGCATTGTAAAACACATAATAAAACCAAAATTAAAGCACACATGCAAAAGCACACAAAGCAGTGATTAAAACATAGAGAAGGAGGGCTCATTAACAGAATACATGAAATCCATATATAACAATTGCACGTGTGTCTTTAGATGTGTATGAACATGCAACGAAGCCATAACTAATCACTACTTTGCAATGTACATGGGGATACTAGTCATACATGGCTCCCTGTCCACTGACTTTTATCCTATGTAGTATGAAGAAATTTGTTCTGTGTGGGAATTTTGTCATGCTTGCAGTGGTCCTTGGGGATGGTATTCAATATACTGCTGTTTGTCGCAGTAGATGCAAAGTCCTCCTCGTGTTTTGCTTTCTGTAATGAGTGATGTGGGGAAGAGAGGGACCCTTTCAAGAAGACTGCACCTTTTCCAACTACTGGCAGCAGCAAATGCAACACACTTCAGGCTGGGCTTAGAGAGAAAGAGAGAGAGAAAGCAAGAATCATATTGTGGGTGAACAGTTCAATTTCTGTTTATTGCTCAGCTTCAGCATAGCCACTTAAGGCTCAAAATGAAATGAGATTATTATCCTCCTAAAGTGGTTTGCTAAAACAAGTTGGTCTTAGTTAGGGGGCACATCACCAAGAATATGAAGGTATTAAATGGAAGCCTTGTCAATTCTTTGGAATTCAGCACAAGAAGGTAGATGCATACATCACCATTAATTACCTGCAGCGCCTCTAGAATCTGAAATGGATTTAGGTTTTTAACAAGTTTGCGTATCTTTAATATGAAAAAGTCTATCTAAAGGGGAAGTGGGAAAGCAGGAGTAATGGGGACCTCAGAAGAAAGAGGAGGAGCAAATGATGATTGTGCAGACAGCAGCTTCCTCAGTAGCCAATTTTTGCAAAGATGGACAGGGGGAGCAGAGGAGAGTTGACCAGATGCTCCTCTGGGCACAATTTCCATGCTAAATCAGCCCGCCTGATGCTTGCAAAACACCATCTGGGTGCATCTTAGAAGTAGCACCTGTAGCACAATATCTGATGGACTTTCATTGTATTTTGGTTTGCCAGGAAAATCCTATTAAATCTGATATGGCTTACCAGAACCATGTTTGCTTTGTTTACTGCTTGACTGCACCTTATACCAGAGTCTTCCCATGAGGAGCTTTGAGCCCTTTGGGCAGTTGAGCATTGGAGAGGAAACTGGGAGGAGGACATAGTAGTATTTGCTCTGTGACTTCTGTGAAGAAAATACGCAGTGTCATGGCTCTTTCGCCTGGGGGTATAATTCAAGGTAAATTAACCATCTATCTTCTGTTGTTCAGGAGGAGAGAAGCAAAGAATTGCAATTGCCAGAGCCATCTTGAAGAATCCTCCAATTATCCTCTATGATGAAGCTACTTCATCTTTAGATTCAATTACAGAAGAGGTAACTATGCTGCACAACTTTTCCTTCAGCGTCACTGCACAGTTCTGTCTTCCTTGGCTGGTTGCCCTCAAAGGCCAAATTTTGGGCAGCTGAGATGCCCTGCTCATCTTGAGCTCGATACAAAACTGTCAGTTGCGGTTCCTGGTGTCCTAGCACAATACATTGCATAATATGAAGCTGTTAGAATTGCCTAATGTGCTCGCAGTGAGATGTAGAGAATTCATTCCACTCTAAAGGAAGGCAATTGCCGTGTAAAATCTGTTTTAAAAGAATAAACAGTCATTGCAAAATGCAAGTTGGTAAACCTCACTGCAGAGCATCTTCACTGAGATGCAAGGTAAGAATGCATAATCCTCCAGCCTCGTATCAATTTACATTCCCTTTGCAGATAGGGTTGTAAAACATCAGGATGTTGTGACACAGATGTCATGACATTGCCGTAGCAACTGCATCAGACTTCATAATTGTTAAGTACCGAAATCTCAGTTCCAGCAATACTTTCCTAACCTAATCTTCTTGTTTGTAGAAAAAGCCAGGGAACACAGGTTGATTTGCTAACTGCCTGGGCTCATGTTAGGTTTCTTGGCCAGTCTGTTGACCTCATATCATTAGATTGCTTGGCTGTTGACAGTCCGTTGATGCACACAGTCCCTTAGAAAACTCAGAATGATGAAGATGCACCTGTCAAGAGTAACCTCCTTAAGAGGTTGTGGGTTGTGATGGGAATTTAAAGGGAACCTTGTGCATATTAATTTTTCCTATATTTATTACTAGTTTGTCAAATAGAACTGAATGTTTACACAACACAGCTGCACTTCAAAAGCAGTTAGTAAAATACGGCTCATTTCCCCCCCCCTTGTGTGCACAATGCAATCAAAGCTGTAGATTGTATTCTGGGGAAAATAAATGTACAGATAGCCCCGTTTAACTGCAGTTTGAATGAAGTTGCATAAAGGAATTAAAAGAACTAGATTTTGGAAGTCAAGCATCCTGTTTGACCTCTTGTACAGTGGAGACTTTACAAAGAAGTGTGACCTCTCCCTGTTGGCTTGTTAAAATACACATGTTAGAGATTTTTCACAGTACAAGCTCCATCTTAATGCTTGAACTTCTCTTTTGAAGTCACAACTACGAACTCTTCCTTAATTTACGACTTTGAATCTGCTGGTGACCCTCCTTTATAACAAGTTATTAAATTATTCTTTTTTGACGTTTTACTTAAGATTATTTCTTTTCCCCAATCTGAAAGATATAAACTGTTCTACACTGTGCATGTCTTTAATTATACAGAACATTTTGAATGCCATGAGGGACATGGTGAGACACAGAACATCCGTCTTCATTGCACACAGACTGTCAACAGTGGTCGATGCAGATGAAATAATTGTACTGGATCAGGTGAGAATCAACTTCCTGGATGTGTTTGAATTTACCTTAGCAGTCGTGCGAGTCTAAAAGGTTCAGTTTAAAATCCGCCACAAAACCAGGCCTTTCTTTTGACAATACTGGCAAAATAGAAAACCGTGTATGTAATCTTATTACATGTGCCAACAACTAATAAAGATGAATTAATAACCAAATATACAATGTGTGTTTCTTAGTAAGTAGAATAAGATAACTCTCACGGCTCAATTTATCAGCAATATTTTCAAAAACAGTCCATAGAAACCAGCTCAACTATCGTCAATGTTTTCAGAAGCAGTCGATAGAAAATGTTCCTCAGCATTTTGTAAATTTCATACTCATTAGTAAAGGCTGTGCAATGGACGAAAACAGAGATGATTCTTGAATCCAGTTCTCAGTAGCAGACTTCCAAATAACATTCTTTATTTTGTAAATAAGGTTCTTTAGTTGCAAAACACAGTCCCGACGACAGGCAAACTAGCTATAACTAGCCATGTTTCCACAAAGCTTCTTCAAAAGGCAGAACTGCTTCTCTCAATCCAGCAGCACTCCAAAGCAGTCAGCCACAGATCTTTCAGATATAGCTTACCATCTCAGACCAACAGCATAACACTCTTCAGATTTCAAATTTGGATTTAGAAATGTAAAGAGTGTTATGCTGTTGGTTTTGGTTTCAAGAATTGTCTCTATTTTCGTCCATTGCACAGCCTTTACTAATGAGTATGGAATTTACAAAATGCTGAGGAATATTTTCTATGGACTGCTTCTGAAAACATTGATGATAGTTGAGCTGGTTTCTATGGACTGTTTTTGAAAATATTGCTGATAAATTGAGCCGTGAGAGTTATCTTATTCTACTTACTAAGAAACACACATTGTATATTTGGTTATTAACTCATCTTTATTAGTTGTTGGCACGTGTAATAAGATTTCATACACGGTTTTCTATTTTGTTAGTATCTGCATACTGTGTTCCCACTATGTCTTGTTAGTTTTCTTTTGACAATGGCAAAAAGAATCTGTCCAAGCTTTCCCTGAGAGTCATTTCATTTTATTTATAATATGTTCTCCTTTATAAATGCGTGAAATTGTGGTATGCATATTCATGTGGAGTCATTAGTATTAGAGAGAGAGAGAGATTGTGTGTGTGTGTGTGTGTGTGTGTGTGTGTGCTAAAACTCAACGTATCGGCCTTTTAAGTGGATTACTGTTAATTAGTTTCATTGGGTGGTTTATTGGTAGTTGTAGAAGCTTTATAGTACCATTCATAAACCCTTATGTATAATGTGTTCTTAATATGCTGCATTCCCAGTATGTCTCTGGTTGACATTTTTATCAGCCCAGAAGTGTAGCTTTTTTTCAGTTGCATTGTTTAGCCTTTCAAAAAGAGAGAAGTTTGGACAATAAGATCATGTCTCTATAGGAATCTTGCTATGGCCAGATATTCTAATTAGATGAGAGACTGACACTTCATTCGCTTCTGAAACAGATTATAGCTGGGAAATTGTATCAGTCTTCTCTGGGAGCTTCCCCAAAATTCCTTTTAATACCTTATTTATCGCTACTCAATCACAACATCATATTGAGATTATTTTCAGTGTCAAGATACAGCGGAACCTGAAATAAAAAGTGATTTTGGTTTCAAATTTCCAAATACATTTACATATGTAGTAGAATATTTTAAAAGCCATCTCCATGCATACAGCAATTCTAAAATTTAGTATAAACTAAGATTTTGAATTGCAGGCCATAAAACTTTAGGATTCCAAACAGTACATTCTATGCACTAACACTCCACCCCCCAATCTGCAATATGTTTGCTTGGTCCCAGAATCTGGAAGAGGATCCGAGTAATAGTTCCAGAGAGCAGACGTGTTGTTCAGCAGTAGAGCAGCTGGATTTGAGTCCAGAAATGAAGGGAACTTTGTCTCTTGAAAGCGTCTAGCTCCAGATGTCTTGGTGTTCTCAAATGTACTATTGGACTCAAATCTAGCAACCTGAATAAATGTCTCCCCAGGACACAATCAATTTTGGTTTTTTAAGCAAATGGACTTAAATGGTGCCCTTGTATACACTGAGAGACGTAGGTGTTCACCTGCTGCAGATGGTGAACAGATGAAAGGGTAGATTGAGCCGTCTAATCCTAGTCATTACAGGGAAGTCCCTGGATCTAGGCCTGCATGTTAACAGAACTGGATGTCAGTGGCAAATTCATAGCATGCTTTTGCCAGTTCTGCAGATTTGCTCTTGACCACTTTGCATAAAACAAATGAGGAGGACCCAGTGAAACTCTGGATGGAAACCTATCGAAAAGCTCCCACCTCTTCTCATTATTTTGTATATTCCTTCCAGAAGGCAGAAAAAACACTGGAGAACAATCCTTGTAACACTGATTGGATCATTCATTGACCTTCCCAAAATTTGAGATCAGCAAATAATTTGATATCGCATTCTTCCAAGTGCCAACCCATTTAGCAGCACTAGAAGCAGTGCTTTCTCAGTAGCTGCTCTGGGACTTCCTTCCCTGAGCAATCCGTTGGTCTCCATTCTTTGCTGCCCTTCCACTGAGCGGTAGAAGTGTCTGTTTCCGATGGCTTTGGAAACTGATACCTATAATCACATCTGCAGACCCTCACCCTTGTAAGCTTTATGCCCAGAGTTTGTTGTTTGTTTTGGTCAATTTGGAGAATTTTCATTGATTTTATACTTTGTATACCACGTCAAAATGTTTATGAAAAGTATTGTAACGGTTTAGGAAATCAATCAAGTTTGCAAGCTTCAAAGGTAGTAGACAGGTCTAGTAGGATTCATAGGCTGCTGTTAGAACTGTTAAAAAACAAAGGTCACTGATCAATACCACAGCTGCATTCCTGGTACCTTGCTTATGCTAATGGTCCAGTTGGCAGGAGCAGGAAAGCCAGCGGGTCTGTTTAGGTAATATACATTCCTGTGACCCAAATAACAGCATGCGCATGGACAAGAAAAAATCCATTACTGGCTTATTTCTTCACCAGTGTGAACAGCTATAAGGAAACACCTGGTGTAGTGGTTAAGAGTGGCAGACTCAAATCTGGGGAGAACCGGGTTTGATTCCCCACTCCTCCACATACAGCTGCTGGTGTGACCTTAGGTCAGTTACAAATTCCTTCGGAGCTGGTCTCTCAAAAGCAGTTCTCTTAGAGCTCTCTCAGCCCCACCTATCTCACAGGGTGTCTGTGGTGGGGAGAGGCAAGGAAGGAGATTGTAAGCCGCTCTGAGACTCCCGAGTGAAGGACAGGGTATAAATCTTCGTTGTCGTCATCATAGTAGTCGTTGTCTGGGGTCCCCAACCTTTTGAAGCCTGCCAAGCACCTTTGGAATTTTGAGGAGGGGCTGGTGAGCCCCACCCCAAAATGGCTGCTGCAGTAAGTGCAGTTTGTAACAGAATCGCAGAAGGTTGTGGATTTTCCGGGCTGTATGGCCGTGGTCTTGGCATAAATAAAATAAATTGGTAATAGAAGAAGAAGAAGAAAAAGAGACTGGATTGATACCCCACCCTTCACTCGGAGTCTCAGAGCGGCTCACAAACCCCTTCCCCTTCCCCTCCCCCAAACAGACACCCTGTGAGGGACACCCTGTGAGGCAGGTGGGGCTGAGAGGGCTCTGACAGAAACTGCCCTTTCAAGGACAGCTCTTGTCAGAACTACGGCTTGCCCAAGGTCACACCAGCAGCTGCAAGTGGAGGAGTGGGGAATCAGACCCAGTTCTCCCAGATTAGAGTCCGCACACTTAACCACGACACCAACCACTGCACCAAATTCCCAAGAGGAGGAGGAAAAGAAAAGGAAAAGAAGTAAGGAAAGCCTGAGGGAAGAAGGGAGAAACAGAAGGGGGAATGGAGCTACACACTGGGCTAAGGAAAGCCCAGGCGTTCACCAGTCCTGCTGAACCTCCAACCCTTTTCATGTGACCAAGGGCATCCAACAACAAGCTCTGCCTTACAGTGGCCCCACCCGCTTTCTGAAGAGCTTGGAAGGGAACATGGCAGCATCAGGCAGGAAGGCAATTGGAATGACGGTCTCGTCCTGTGATGAAACCCCTGCCCTCTGTTCTTTTCCCACCTCCTTGTTCAGACAGAGCAAGGAAGTTCTGTTTATTCATTTCCTCTGTCTTTCTCTTCAGCTGCAGCTCTCTGATTGGCTTTGAATTTTTTGTGTTTTCTATGTTTTGTCTCATTAGTCTCTCATTCCTCCTGGATAAAAATCCCACAAAACTTCTCCTCTTGGTTGTATTTCCCTGTTGGTGTTCTCTGCTCCCCCCGGCCACGGCTGCATTTCTGAGGTCATAGTCAGAGCGTATGTCAATGATGGGAGCGGCAGAAGGAGACTTAGCAGCAGTAATTCTCAAGCGGCAGAGCAGGAGAGCACATCCCAAGCAGGCAGCAGCTGCTGAAGTGGCTGAGTCCTGTTGCAGGATGAACTGCCTTAAAGTCCGGTTTGGAGTCCGGTGGTGCAGCTGAGCAGCCCAGAGGCTAAGCGAAGTGCGAGAGAGAGAGGGAAAGCATAGAGCAGCCCCCAGGGAGAGTCAGGACACCATTCCTCTTGTTATGACTCTGAGGATGCTGCTTCCCTCTACATGAAGCCCTGTTTCAGGAGGTGGGACAAGGATCAAAGTTGGGGCGGAAATACGGAGGCATTCCCAGCCAGTTCTGTCAGCTTGCCCACCCCACAAATTAGGCAGCCTTGGAAGCAGGCGGGCTTGGGTGCCTCCTGCCCTATCAGAGCAGCGCAGAAGAAGACTAACTGACAGCCTAAGACACACGTTGGATGCCTCAATCATTGTTCTCAAATCTCTAATAATGATGACTCAGAGAAGAGGGGAAACTTTCAAGTGCCTTCAAGGACGGGGGGGGTGGGGCAAGGGATTCTTAGGCATTAAGGATCTGTTTCCTCATTTCATGGCTTGCTTTCTTTGAGTTTTTAAAAGAAGGAGTAGGGAAA